AAAATGAATAATTCCGATATTATTTACTTTTTCTTTGTATTTTTTCGAATGAAACATGACCCAGTGCACATGTTAGTACTTTGAATTTCTATTCCACGAAGCCGTTCCTTGCAGATTGATCACAAATTCTCGATTTTCCGGGTCAGTCTATAGTACTTTGATTTGCTCACTGGTAAGGTTTGCCAGTGTGTTCGTGTAGCGTTAAAAATTTTCGTACACTTCCTTGGAATAACGTCCTTCGCAGACAATAACCTTAGGACAACTAATTGACAGACGAGACAATAGTGTTTGTGCGAGATAAAAATCTGATGCAATCTCGGATGATGCAATATTTTTCAAGGCCAAACGAATTTCATCCTACACCCCGACAACAGATTCATTTTAGTGCACACAACTGCAAATGACCTAATCTGAGTTAAAAATAGAAATAGATTACACCCTGTCACTCAAGTGGGTTTAAACCTGTGTAGTGAAGGAAAGGAAGTTTTCTTTCTTTCACGACACAGTCAGTTTTAGACCCACTAGTTTAATGCGGTCGTCTCAATTAATTTGCACAATGGGGTAGATAGATAGAGATAGACAGATAGATAGATTTTAAGAGAGTTTATTAAAACGATCTAGGCAGATAAACTTATAGACAGATCGATCGTTAAACAAAGAGATATTTTTCGTTTGATTTAGATATGTGTTAAGAATGATACAACTGTATTTCTGTACTTTCGTGTGCAGTTTTGACGTCTAGTTTGAATCGCGACTTTTCACTTCTCAGTTTATAAAAGAAAGAAAAAAAAAACGCACTCCAACACTGTGAAAGAGATTTGTCTCTCTCCGCCATTGCAGCTGTTGTTATTTGAAACTGATGATAAGAAAGCAGAAGGAGGCGAAAGCAGCTCACAATAATGTCTGCGAATTCCTCTATTCAGTAATCGGGTTTGGTTCCCTACCTTTGGCAATGAATTCTTTCCGCCTACGCATGTTCTGACTTCCTGATTCCGTATTTTGATTTCAATTTTCCCTTTCTTTCATTTTTGGTTCTTTATTTGTTTCTCTCTCTTCTTTTCTTTTCTTTCATTTGAGTTTTCTTTTCCATCTTTTCTTCGTCGTTTCTTTGTCATTCTTTGCTTCTCTCTATTCTTTTTTCTCTTCTTTTCTTTCTTTTTTCATTTCTTCTTTCTTTCTTTATCTTCCATTTTCTTTCTTTCGTTATTTCTTTTTTTCTTTCTTTTATTTATTTCTGACCTTTCTTTCTTTCCTTCATTCTTTTCTCGCTCCTTTCTTTCATTTCGACGCTGCACGAATAGCCTTTATTCAAGAGGAGATTAGGAGTTTTTGACCCAATACTGCGAAGAACCACACACTCATAGATTAACGCACAAATAAATGCAAAAGCATAGAGTCGCGTATATGTGCGCATATGTTTACACGCACATACACAAACATATACAGTGTTAAACACACATACACAGAGGAGATAAACATACACAAACACACACACAGATAGAGGCTTACTTACAAATATGCACATACACACATATATGCATGTACTAGCAGCATGGCCCGGCGTTGCCTGTGCTTGATTCAAAAATCGTACGACTCATACAGCAATCGCTATCACTTGACTTAAAATATTTTTGCCCTTCCTTCTGTTATGAAAAAAGAACTAAACAAAATGAACACAAAACGATCAGCTTTAAAAAAAAAAGGACTCGTAACTGGAAAAACTGAATGAAAAAAGAATGTTAACAACAAATACTTTTTCACACCCAGCCCAGTTCTGCGGAATCAGAATCAACGTTGAGTTTAAGCAAGCGAATGAGCCAATTGGAGTGAATGCAGATTTAAATTTCCCCACTTGTGTCGAATGCAGCTTTCGATTTTTTTTTTTTTTTTTTGGCATGCTAGCATGCTAGTTAACATTCGCGTCAGTCAGCTGTTGGCTCTCACGCTGGCCAATAAAATAAAGAAATAAATTGGTTCACTTTCTTGTTCGGGACAATTTTCCTCTCTAGAATCTATCTTACATATCTATAAGTCTACCATTCGTCCATACCTAGAATGTATTGCTGCCACATATGGGCCAACGCTTGTGCTATTTAAACCTCCTTGATAAGATCCAAAGAAGAATCAGCAATATTATTGGTCCTGATCTGGCGTCTCGGCTTCAGTCGCTTTCCCGCCGCCGTTATGTAGCTTCCCTTTGCCTTTTCTATAAATACTTCCATGGTAATCATTCGGACAGCTCTTCCCTATGGTACCTAGACTATGAATTTAAGCGCAGTACTAGACTGGCATCGAGATCTCACCAACTTACAGCTGAGATGGCTAGATTTAATCGTAAATTCTATGCTAACAGTTTCTTTTCTCGCACTTCTCGCCTGTGGAACTCTCTTTCAGCTCTCCTGCTTTCCAGCCAACTTTAATCTTCAAAAATGTAAATGCAATGTCAATCGCTATCTACTGCCCCCCCCCCCGATTACTGTTTTCTCTTTCCGCTCATTAGTATTTTTTTCTGTTTCTAATTCTTCCACACCCAGTAACCTCTTATGTCTGCCTTGCATAGGGTGAACACGATTAAATATATACAGAAACATAATCTCTGCAGAGCCATGATCGTCTGTGTTGAATTATATGCCATTTAAGATATAAAATTGAAAACTTCTCTTAGTGTTGCGAGGTCCAACCCTTTTTATACAAATGGACTCACAGAGTGTATACTTAGACTACTGAATACCCGGAGAGTCGAGACAAGAGTCGAGTCGAGTCCAGAGTGACAGAGTAAAAGGTTGGAGGTAACCGGTAGAGTGAGGGTGAGGTAACAGCTTTGTAGGAGTCACAGTGAGTGAGCACGTAGACTCAGTAAGAAGTCATACAGCGATACTTCAATACAAAATACTGTATAGATATTTTGCTACTAACCCGTATTCCTGGAACTACTAACCTGCATTACCAGTTTGTCTTATTACGTTAATACATTATTTTCCTATATTCATTCTTGGCGTTTGTTATTTATTGGTACCGGATTTCATCCCGGAATCCACAACACTTAGTATATCTTCTTATTCTTTTATATACCTGGTCCATAACATGTCTCTTGGAGATGTGGGTAGTCATGGTTCTCCACAACTTCTCATCGTTTGTAGCACTTTAGCAATATTTATTTTTCACAATCGCTGTACTTCCATCTATTTACAAAAACTTCTTCGGTAAGTTAAAAGCTGTTTGTTTTTCTTTCTCTTGCCTTCATGTAAGTTTCAGATTCTCCAAGCCTTCTTTCTTCACATTTTGTCCCAAATATTCCAAGATTCCTCTTAGTGATTTTAAATATAAGTTTTCATTGTGTTTCTATCTTGCTCATATGTTCCATTCATGGGATTCTCAGTATCCTTCTGTAGTACCACATCTCTGTTGCCTCAATATTTATCTCTGAGGAAATAGTCCAGCTGAAATCCTTATATAGGAAGATTGATATTACATAACAGCTTAACTCTTTTTATTTGTTTCTAACTTTTTTTTTCTTTTTTTAGTTTGTTTCATAATACTTTTAACGAATATAAGGCCCAAGAGCCACTCAAGGCAGATACTTGCTGTTGAGACAAGAGGTGGATATTATTAAGATATGGAGAAAAAAACAGCTGACCGTCTACTTGAAGAGGTTAATCATTGTATAGTTATAGAAGGTATAATTTGCTAGTTCAATACGCATTCAGAATCCGGTGTCATATTTTGAAAAGTTCCCGGATATTTATATTCCTGTAACTGTGTGATTTTGAAATCGCTAATTCATGTTTTAGAACTTGGACGCTTCCTTTTGTTGACTATAGTAACAACTAATATTTGTCAGTAAAACGCGGATATTAGTATCGTAAATTAAATACACAGGGATTACAATTTCACAGTCTGTTGTGCAAAATCTTACGAAAGCTCTGTAGCTCTGTACCTTTCCTCTTGGCATGAAATTCAGGCAGTATATTTTAGGAAACATTTTCAGTAGAACTGATTAAAGAAAGATGTGTTACATTACTTTCACAGACATTTTCTCATTTAGGGAACTTAAGTAATGATAACCAGCCTACATCTTTGTAAAAGTTCAAATGAATCTAATTACGGAGCGTGGCTTAAATGAAATTTGCCACCGTAGGGTTTGAAGCCATTTAAAAGTCATAAATGATAAATTCCTACAGAGAAATGGCAACCAGACAAAGAAAATTATCGTAACGTATATTAATCGTTATAAATTGTCTTAAAAACGTTTTATTTTCTTTTATTTATTTATTTTTTTTTTTGGATCATTTCAACCCAATCAAGGTGATAGCGTCATTTAGACAAAAGTGGTTCAGTCAGTTATGTGCCATGCTTGATACACGCTTAGACGATCGTGTATCTTTCGATACATGACTGACGAGGCAGATTTTTTCTTGCAATCGGTTGCTTTCTGCGGTATACCAGTTGCCATCCAAGTCTATATGCCCATAGCTGGGTGCGGGGAGAAGATGAACATTCATAACTTTCCGAAGGGTATTAGCACGTAAGTGAATATAATGGATTCGACTGGAATTCGAACTCGGCTCTCCGATTCCTCAATCCGAGAAAAACGTCTGAGTAAAGAAATTCCAGGATAGCGGACTATAAACAGATTTCAAGGAGTCAGAAGATGACGATTGTTGTTGCATTTAATTTTCTTAAGCTCTTAGTTGAAAACGAAGCAAGAAACTAGAAGAATGTTTCAGACGCAAGAAGTGCAATGAAGAAACAGTTGAGAAATAATTGATTCGTTTTTTATGGTTTATCAACCCATCGTAGGTTATTTACAGCCAGAAAAAAACTTAGACTTTAAGATAGTGATACAATTCTTAATAATTAACCCACACCTGGCGCAGAATAGGTGGATTCATGCCTTTCTCGGGAACATTTGCGCGTAAGTGTATATAACTTGAATTGGAACTCGGCCCTCCGATTAACATTTCCGATTCATTATCCATTACACCATCTGCACATCCAAGCTTACGGCACCTGGTATTCCCCCGCAGTCACCTATCTAGGTACTGACCAGGCTCGATGTTGCTTATCTTTGGTGATCGTACGAAATTCGGTGTTTCAACGCGATGTGGCCGTAAGCAAAGTGTCAAGACGATTCAATGTTAGGCAAATTAATGACGCAGGGAATAAACCATTTTGCGTAAGTTTATCTAAAGTAGTTTTACTTGATCGAATTGCATATATGCCTGAAAGAGAGGGGGGAGAGCTATAAAAATGCAAGCGTCGGTTATAATTATGCAACGATAGGAATGGCTGACGATGTTGAAACGCTGAAATTTTAAATTTTCATTTTTTTTTTTTTAGATATCTCTGGATATGTAGCCCAATCAGAAAAGAATTCCAGACTCCGAGAAAGTCCAATAGTAGACGTCAAGGCAGCTGCTCGCTATCCACCCCCCACCCACCCCCCCCAAAAAAATAATTCCAGAAATGCTTCCATCAATGGAAACGACTATGGATAAACTTTATGCCTTCAAAAGCGGCCTAATGCGAATGAGATTAAAAGTCGAATTGATATGTGTTGTGGTGTTCTTTTTATAACAACAGTCCTGATAGATTTTCATCAGTCATCTTATATATAAGCAATATATTATGCGACAGAAAGAGCTATAAATGTTAGTGAACATGAACATTCTAAATTCCTGAAAAACCGTTTTTTTTAAAAAAAATATTGATTTGAACTCGTAGTATCAGTAAAGGTTTAGTCAATGAATGGTTAAAATTTCTCGTATAGAAATGCTTAATTTTTGTGTTACCATTATAATCTAGAAATTCCAGGGAAGGTATAACTCTGAGTAAATAATTATATACCCCTTAACTTTTATATATACATAAATACTCGTAAACTTGAGAAACAGCAAGAAGTGGAAGTATTATTTATTGTCTGGTAGTTATGTTGTGTTGGGGACACGGGATACAGTAATATTGAGTAAAATTTTAAGTTTGTGGTCAAATGTAGATCAAATATGAATCCGAGTGAATATTAGGATCAAGAATAAGTAAAATATGTACAGTTTTATTCGTATGGTCTTTTCATATATGCATGTAATGAGTGTCCAGATAATTTAAATGGAAAATACAAAAAGTGCATGTTTTTTTCTTATCTCGACGTTTTGTTGAGTGGTAAGAGGTAAAATTTACTATTATGGTCTGAAATAGAAAAGGAGCCGAAATTTTCGTTGACGCGCGTGTTGACGGCCTTTCCGTGTTGACTGCTTGTCCGATGGTGATAATTTCACATGTATGTGTGCATAGAGGAGAAAAGCAAGGCCGATTCTCATTAGTTTAAAAGGAGTGAATTAATGAAAATTGTAATTGTTATAATTATTTTATTGTAATTATTGTTGACACTATAATCAATTTCATTTATTTATTTTTATAGGCATGGCACAGAGACATAACAAATGTTTTTTATGTATTTCTTTATGGTTACGACAAAATCAAAATGAAGAACGATTTTGAATCACTGTAATGGAATTATATCAACGCACGAATCTGGGAAATAACATATGAAAGAAACCAAGCCAGAACTGTAAATATAATGTTTATTATTTCACTACCGATTTGAGATTTTGATAACCTTTTGTATATTACATCTAATAAAAGGATTTAATATTTAAAGATTAAAATACGAAATATATTATATTATGCTAGTACATCTATTTACATTATTCGGACTATTGTCCTCATCATTGTCGCCATATTTATTACAACGTTTCGGCCATTGTACGCTCCAGGCTCCTTCAGGTTGTTGGAATGTCGAACTGAACCCTTTATTTTGTTCACTGGGGTAGACTGTTCTAGTTCCACGTGCCATGTGTAATGGAAGTCAGTTTTTTCCTGTTAATTCCCCTCTGAATATTCTCCACTGCCTTAACCGAGTATTGAAGTCACACTCTTTGAGTCCTGTCACTGGATCTAACTAACGTCATTATCCACTGTGCCATATGTCCTTGAGTTCAATACCTGGTTAAGTTGGTGGTTGATTTGCAGAGGTGAATTAACAGGAGATAACTGATAACTGACATCCATTAGACATGGCACGAGGAACTAGAACAATGTACCCCAGTGAGCGAAATAAAGGGTTTCAGTTCGATATTCAAAACAACTGAAGAAGGCCGGAGCATACAACGGCCGAAACGTTGTAATAAATTTGGCGTCAAAGATGAGGACAATAGTCCGAATAATGTAAATAGTGAACATAATACCTCATCTCAGAAATATAGACAGATACTGAAAGGCCGAAACGTTGTAATAAATATAGCGACAAAGATGAGGACAATAGTCCGAATAATGTAAATAGTGCAACATAATACCTCATCTCAGAAATATAGACAGATACTGAAAGGCCGAAACGTTGTAATAAATATAGCGACAAAGATGAGGACAATAGTCCGAATAATGTAAATAGTGAACATAATACCTCATCTCAGAAATATAGACAGATACTGAAAGGCCGAAACGTTGTAATAAATATAGCGACAAAGATGAGGACAATAGTCCGAATAATGTAAATAGTGTACATAATACCTCATCTCAGAAATATAGACAGATACTGAAAGGCCGAAACGTTGTAATAAATATGGCGACAAAGATGAGGACAATAGTCCGAATAATGTAAATAGTGTACATAATACCTCATCTCAGAAATATAGACAGATACTGAATGGCCGAAACGTTGTAATAAATATGGCGACAAAGATGAGGACAATAGTCCGAATAATGTAAATAGTGAACATAATACCTCATCTCAGAAATATAGACAGATACTGAATGGCCGAAACGTTGTAATAAATATGGCGACAAAGATGAGGACAATAGTCCGAATAATGTAAATAGTGTACATAATACCTCATCTCAGAAATATAAACATTATGCCAGTACAAGTTTAAATCTACTTCTAGTTACATTTTCAACCTTTTAAACACACTTTCTGTTGTGGAATTTCGATTGCTGTTGCAAAATATAAAGCAGTATTTTTTTTCTGGCAAATTCAATTCCTCGTTGATTAATTCAGCACACTTTCCTTGTCAATAATTTGTTTTGTGTGTGTGTCTGTGTGTTGTTGTTTTTTTTTTATTTCACATCGTATTTTGTTGTGTGTATACTCGCCATACAAAGTAATTTCCTCAGGTGTCTATCTGATCATGTCATCTTGCATTTTACAAAATCCTGAGAAAGAACAGATAAGTGCCAATTGCATTTGGTAAAATGTGACAGGCACTCGAAAATGACTGGAAAATACAACGTAATCTCGCAAACATATTGGATCATTGCAAAAGATCGTGTCTGGTTTTCGTTGATTTGAATTTTCTAATCGGGCACGAACTTTTGCAATGCTCTAATATTTTAACACACTGCGATGAGAGATATCAATAAAACTGAATTTCTCGACTATATCGTATGAGGTATACACTAATAAAAATTATGGGGTCCATGGAATTAAATTTTTTTAATAGTGATGTTCAATGTGTAAAACGTGCTAATGCCACTCATTGTGGAGGCTTACAGTGTATGAGGCACATTTTATGGGAATAGGTGGGGAGGATAACGGTTGGACTTCGAGTTGAACAGGTTAAATTTGCAGTGATCAGGGAAGCATCATCTTGGGAGTTGGTTCCACAAAGCAGCTGTTCGACAGCTGAATCTGATAGACTGGAGTTTACATCTCATCAATGGAATAAGAAAGGGATGAGGATGGTTTACTAAAATGAGCGTGGCATGGCATGATTTATTCGAGAAGGTTATAACTGAAGGTGGGGGGAGAAGTAATGTAGTTCATCTTAACATTATCCATGGAAATAGCGATAGAGTTGCAATGTTTTGTCTGTGAACAATGGATTGCATGGTGGGAAATAATTCGTTAGCTACAAAGACTCGTAAACGTTTTTTCGACTCTATCGAACGCGGAAAGGGAAGACTAGGCCGTTCTTGACCATATATGGCTGCTGTACTTCATTTCCGGTCTGGTCTGTCTCTTGTAAATGTAAAAAACAGCAGCAGAAGTCAGGTGCTACTAATTAGAACTGTACAGGCAACCGACCATTTTGTAGTATAGAAAAGGCTTATATTGTTTGCCTAGTCTTATTCATGTTTTATAAGACAATGAAATCAGGAATGCTATTTTCCTGTTCAGAATGGTATCAGAGATAGAATTACAAATGCAGAAGGATGTATACCTATGTTTTATAGATTATGCTAAAACCCTTGACATTTGACAAATACGAAATTTTACAGTTATGCTGATCCTCAGCCATTTACACGGTGTGTTAGCATCTTTTAATATCCCAGCTATGGGCAAATACTGAAATCCTAAACAAAAAGAAAACACTATGAAAATATAAAATACATTTTATATAAAAATACCAGCAATATATTTTTATAGTAAAAATTACCAACAATACCTATTTACAGCTAAATGAACAAAAATATATATTTTATCTATAGTCGAAAGCATAGAATTGCTCCCAAAATATATTGAGTTGAAGCCATAATAATTTGTTCAAAACGTTTAGATTTCGGTATTAAATAACCCTTAGAAGTTAATATGCGGCTAAAATAACTCCAAGCACCCAACATCAACCAGTTACAAAAACTTTCTTGGATATTCGAGATCCGGAAAAAATATATTCATGCTTTCGACCAGAAGTTTCGACACTACGCCACGCAGTCCACGTCTGGTAACACGGAATAGAGTAATTAATAACGTGCTTTCCTCATCAGCAATTAAGTAAGTATATTCTCAGAACTTTCAAGAATGATTGGCATTTACCCGCATTTCATATCGTTTCCCAGCCTCCGTACTGTATCTCTGTAATTGTCACATTTCGCTTTTACTCTGAATATGTATTCAGACCAAAAATTATTCATCCAGATAAATTTTAGTAATTCATTTATTTTTTTTCAGCTCGAGAAAATGTGCAATATATACAACGCAGACAACTTTCTTCTCGACCCAAAATTGTTATGCATACATGCCGTAGCCATTGACTTTTTTAAGTGCGGAATTCTACACTGAAAAGGTCATATTCATGATAATGACAGGTTCTTTATTCGATATGCAAATATGCCAAAACAC